TGGACAGACTGTCTGATTAAGAGCTTCTCCTGCTGAACCCATTCTCTAATGACCAGTATAAATGTCTACTTGCTCAAATATTTAGACATACATGGGTATGAGAACCACAAATAATCCAGAAAACAAAGTACCATTAAAAGAGCAAAATAAATAACTAGTAGCTAACTATAGAAATAGAGATATATAAACTTCCTGAGAAAGAATTATAAGCAATCATTTTAGACCAATAAACACATGAAGAAATGTTCAACCTCCCTGGCCCTTAAAGAAATTCAAGTTAAGTCAACACTGAGATTCCATCTCACCCCAGAAAGAATGACCATCGTGAAGAAATCAAATACTAAGAAATGCTGGTGAGGCTGCAGGGAAAAAGGAACTCTATTTACTCTATCATTGGGAAAGTAAACTAGTACAGTCAATACGGCAATTCTTCAAAAAACTAAAACTAGAAATTCCATTTGACTCAGGTATTACCCTTCTAGGTATCTTCCCAAATGAGTTAAAGACATCACATTACAGCGATACGTGAATACCCATATTTATGGCAGCACAACTTATAATAGCTAAATCTTGGAGCAACCTATATGTCCACCAACAGATAAGGAGATAATAAAAATGTGACATTTACACGCAAAAGAGTACTACTTTGTCATAAAGAAAGATAAACTTCAGTCACCTTGAGAACATAACATTAAGCAAAATAAAGAGACAAGCTTAAATGTTGCATGGTTTCTCTTCTATGAGAAGGCCAATTAAAGAGTAAAAAAAAAGGATAGATAATAAGAAGTAGGAAGACTGGTCTTTCTCAAATGGGAAGGGGACCTAGAGATGAAAAGAGGTGAGTGAGAGGGAGGGAAAGGGGATTAAAACATTAAGACTTTAGGTGCATATGCCAACTCCACACACAGAATGAAAACATTAGGTACTTCAAATCTATACTAACAAAAATAGTCATTTTATTTTATTTATTTATTTTTTTTTTTTTTTTGTCTTTTTCATTTTTATCAGTACCAGGGATCGAACTCACGACCGCCTGCTTGCAAGGCAGGTGCTTATGCCGCTGAGCTAAATCCCCAGCCCCAAAAATAGTCATTTTAAATTGGCTGAGTGAACTAGAATGAAATAGAAAAAAAAAACTAAATGAAATCAGAACTGCATATAAACAAAATCTGAAGTTGAAAATTTTAAGAGATAGCTAGGCATAGTGATGCATGCCTGTAATCCCAGCATCTAGGGGCCTGAGGCAGGAGGATTGTTGCGAATTCCAGACCAGCCTGGGCTATAAAGTGAGCTCAAGGCCAGCCTGAACTGCATAGCGAGATCCTGTCCCAAAAAGATTAAAAAAAAAAGTCTGAAAGATAAAAATCATTAAAAAAAAAAAAGACCTAAATAGAAATTTTGGAACTAAAGAACCCAATAAATGGAGTTAAAAAAAATCCAAAGAGAGCTTTAAGAGCTGACTTGTTCAAGTGGAAGAAAGAACTAATGTCTTCAAAATCATCTGAAATTTCACAGAGGAAATGTTAAAAAAAAAAAAAAAAGGAAAAAATTGCAGAAGGTACACTATGCAACTGTGGGACATAATCAAGTGAACAAAAACATGGCTATGGTACCCTGGAAGGAACAAAGAGCGCGAGAAAGGAACAGAAAACTATTCAAAGAAATGACAGAAAGTTTTCCAAAATCTAAACCAGAAAAGGAACATTCAGCTCTCTGCAACCTAAAGAATCACAAATGTATTGAATGTAAAGAGATCTTTACCAACATACACTATAGTCAAATTCAAAAATCATGAAAACATTGAGAATTCTGAAAACAGCAAGAGAAATGCAATTTATCACATACAAGAAAATTCCATAACTATCAGAGAATGTGGAATGATATATACAAGGAGCTGGAAAAAAAACTGAGATAAGGGAAAGGAGAAAAGGAAGAAGGGAAAAGATTATATGTGTGTGTGTGTGTGTGTGTGTGTGTGTGTGTGTGTGTGTATACATATATAAGTGTACAGATATGTATAAATATATATATATATATGATAGATAACTGTAGTACTAATCTCTGTTAGTTCATCAAAAAGAACAGTGTGTGCTTTCATTGTCTGATACTTTTTTTCATGCCTAAATCTTGTAACCTGAGCAACTACTTCTAAGATAACAATATGCAATATATTAACCAGTGTTAGTCTCCTACTATTTTTTTGAAGTTCTGAATCACATCTGTCCTTTTTGTATTTTGCTTTTTAAAATAGAAAAGTCATAAGAACAAAATTGGTGAGGACCCAGAGATCTTCTGTACTTAGACCCATCATTTTCCTGCTTCCGGATTAACATAATCTATTTTTGTAAGGTAACTATGTAGATGTCTTATAGATCCTCACATTCAAAAGTTTAAAAATTTACACTGTGATCTTTTTCTTACAACTCACTTCTTTTTTTTTGTACCAGAGTTTGAACTCACAACCTCATATTTGCCACGCAGGTGCTTAAGCCACTGAGCTAAATCACTGGCCCCCACTTTTTTTGTATATTTTTCATGCATTCAATCCCCAGACTTCTCTTAAGGATTTTCACTAGTGGTGGTGGGGAGGGTGGGGGGTCACTGACTTCCTGTTACCTACCATTCCATCTATTGAGAATTTTCTTTGTTCCAGGAACTGTGCTAAACAATTTGTGATTTTTTTCCTGGTTTTTATTCAAGACAAGGTCTCGCTGTGTAGTTCATGCTGGCCTTGAACTCACTATTGTAGCCAGGGGGGCCTCAAACTTGCAGCAGTCCTCACCTCAGCCTCCCAAGTGCTGGGATTCCAGTCGTGCCCCACTATGCCTGGTTTACAAACAGCACTTCTTACTAACACATTTATTTCTCCAAAACCCTATGAAGCATGAGCCCCTTTATCATCCTATTTCATTTTATTTTTTGTACTGGGGATCAAATTCATGACCTTGTGCTTGTCAGGCAGGCACTTGTGTCACTGAGCTAAATCCCTGGCCCCTATCATCTTATTTTAATTTTTAATTCCCATTCTACCCTCAACTTTCATCTGTAAATTCTTCATCTTATTTGATGCTCCTCCCATAAATTAATGCAATATGCTTTGTTTTCCTCTCTGTTTTGGTTATTATAAATACTCCTTGGTTGTTACTTTAGTCCTTTTTTTTAAACTACAAAATAGTGAGAAACTAATATTACACACTTTTCCTAAATAAGTGCTTTTTGAGTGAATGACTAAAAGATTGTTGTCATAATTAGACTTGTGAAAAACTAATGCTTTAATGAAGGCAAGGAAATAATCTCATAAACATATAATTGGAATTACCATTGAAGTTGACAGCAAAACTGTAAACAGCAGCTTAGTAAACATTTCAATTGTTCTTTCTACTGGAAATATGAGCACATTTAGAAAATCTGGCAATATACTACTAAAATTTATCATATACACGTTCATTCATGTGTTCCATGTTGGTGTTTCCTAAGGGGTAAATATGTAAGCTTTCCCTATGTCAATTTTAAAAAGGACTGTGATTGACAAATCAACCCAAATGCAATGAAATTTGGAGTAGGAGGTAGGGGTTCAACCATGAAGGTGCCCTAATAAGTACATTGGGATAATGGTTGGGATAATGAGGGAGCCACCGGGGACAGAAATGCGATCAGAATTTCATTTTAAATGTTTATGTTTTGTGGAGATGGATTTCAAAAAGACAACACCACAGCCAATAGGCAAAGGAGGAGATTATTTTGTGGGCTAATGAGAAGATGTTGTCATCTCCCTAACCCAACAACATTAGGGTAATCTGGGTCTGTAATAGCTGAAATGGAGGGATGGAGATGAGATTCAGTATGTTTAGGAATTAAGACCTTGACAATGAACTGAAGACACTATAGCATCCGACTGGTTATGCATTAAGGTTCCCTGGGTTCGAATCTTGGTAAGCTTCTTCACTTATCATACACCTGACCTTAGGCAATTTAGTTTTTCCTGAATCTCAGAAGGGAAATGATAGAAATCTAAGGAAAGAGCAGTGGAAATGAAGAATAGAAGATTTAAGATGCACTAAAGTAGTAAAATTGGGGGGTTGAACTGGTATTGTGCGCTTTGAGAAAGATAGGTCTGTAACGGAAATCTTCAGGAAGGTTGTCGGGGTTTGAATTTTGTAATTAAGGAGATATGGTTTCCATTCTTGAGGCAGAGAATTCAAGAGCAAGAAGCAGGGAACGGAGTAACGGCTATCAGTGTTAGGTAGGCTGATTGTGTGACAACGCAGACAACTGGATACACGGTTGGCAGGAAGTTACAGGGTGGAAACACAGCATTGTAAACTCTCAGATTAGAGGAAAAAGTGAGCCACAGAAGGAAAAGGAATCACTCAAGGAGACTATTGGAAAAGCTTAGGGAAACAGAGTGGGAACTCAGGCAACATCAATATTGAAGGGTCCCCTCAGTCAAAAGAATTTTAAAAGAAAACTGGATGGACTTTGGAAAGGATTGGAAAATGAATGAGAATCAGATAGAGAATTGAGAATAGTGCAAAGTACATGTATTGAGATAGCACGTAAGGACATGTAATGATAAGACTTTTTTCTTTGCTTTTAGATGAGAACATTGAAAAATCTTGATATATTAAGGACAGAGTCAAGAGAGAGAGAGAATGAATGAAAGTTTAGGGGAATGCTTAGCAAGGTACTTGGAGTAGGATCTGGGGAGTGAGAACTTTCTACTAGACTGAACAGAAGGATATTTGCCAAATCTTTATCACTAAGTGAAAGGATAGCAGGTGGATTTTGATTTCATGTGTCTCTGTACAAGTGCCATGCGCTGACGGACCATATCAGTGGAGCTCAAAAAGAGATCCAAACCATATCTACTCTTCTTGAAGTGAGTCTCAGGCTCACATTAAATTCTTATTCTATCGAAATTTTCACCAGATCTAGTATTAAATTTATTAAATCAACTTTTAACCAAAAGCTGAACATGTTTTTCTCCTGAAAAGACTTACATCAAAGGTCAAAGAAGCCACATTCCAGGGTTTTCGGTAGTATGTTAAAGTGTTTCCATCCCGAACTCGGTCACAGAGTCCATTGTAGAATTCATTGTCAAACGGTGTGCTTAGGGGATCCATCCCTAAAATGTTGATCCTGAGCATAAACAGAAGACATTAGGTGTGGAAGTACATGGCTAATGCAAGGCAGTCCTCTGTGATGGGGGAAAGAAAGTTGGGATAGTCTGGCTCATGTCACCGTCACTCTATATGTGCTCAGCATAATTAGGAACAGAAGCAAGAGCCTGTTCTGCTTGGTTCAGTGTCTCTGGCAGAAAATACACCTTGGAGAACCTTATAAACTCCTCAGCAACTAGGGCACTGGATAGAGCACAAAGAAGCAAATGAAGTAAATAGGCCACATGGGACTATCTGGCTCCTGGCGTTTTAACCCCACTTCTGGAATTCTTACCAAACCTCCCTTAGTGAACCAAGAGCCAATACTGCAATACAGCTATTTAAAGTTTTGGAGAACAGAGTATCTCAGGGGGCCTGTAAAACATATGCAGGTAATTTTTCATCAACATTAGGCTCTATCTCATCCCATCCCATGCACTTTAACTCTAGCCTTTTCCTTCAACTGTCTTGTTGCTTATGAAGAGATTCATTCACTCGCACTTACACTATTCCTATCATAGTTTCCAAGATGAGCACAATACTTACAGCATCCCTTTAAGACATTCTTACAAGTTTTACATTTTCTCCAAGCAAAATATTATTTGACATGCTTTAATTCACAAATAAGATCTTGTTTAACTTTTAAAATTAGACATGATATCGTAGGCTTAAAAACAACACATACATAGTTTGTGAAGTTCCTGCAATGTTAATTGGAGGAACACAGTCATTTCTGTCTAAATTGTATCTGAACTACATGGACGTGTGCCAAAATAAAAATTAAATTCTTACACTCGTAACTTATAATGGCACGAAAGCATAAACTTGTCCATTACTCTAGATCACATTCTTAACTCCGGATTATAAATCTGAATATTGGGTCAAGAACAATTTGTCAAAGACTGTGGATGGCTTATCCTTAAACCATTGTTAATGCAAGAAAAATAGTTGGGAGAGAATCATATTGCCATTGGATTTGTTAAAAAAAATCTTTTGGTACATCTCATATTTTAAATAAACTCTGAATCTACAAAAGAACTGTGGCTCAACTTTAATGGAAGTCAGTTTAAGGGATTTTAATATCTTTCTCAAGGCTGAAGTACAGATAAAATGAAACACCTCACATTGCCTGTCCTACCAAATATTTCAGCAGCAAATACTATGGCTCGAAAGTCCTAACATAAGGCAAAACATTAGAATAATCAACTGGAATAAGAGACATAAAAAATATATTCCTGGTTACTTTCTCCAACATTGTGTCCCTCATGGCATCATCATGGTCACAATGTGCTTCTCTCTCACTGGCTTTATGCTCAGCATGTGACTTCATACTAAGCCTTAGCCAACCTCCTGTAGTTAAAAACTAGCAGCAGCCCAGTTCAGAGCCTGGGCACGAAGAGGCCATAAGTGCTTCTTTTCACCTTCTGTATTTTTGGCATTGCCTTAACCAGGGTTTCTGATGGGTACCTGCTGCCTTTGCGCGGCTTCTCCAGTGTCCAGCTTCTCCCCAAACCTCAGTGAGAAGAGAAACCACCCCAGCCATTGATTTGGAGGCAGAGTTGCTGGTCAAGGCCAGTCTTATGAGCAATTAATTATTTTTATTTCACTGAAGCTTTGATGAAATTCCTTCACCTCAAAGACATACAACATGAGAAGATATCATATATACTTGCTTCTTAACTAGACCTTAAGTACATGTTTATAGCATAGTGAACTTTGTCCTACTGCTTTTTTGCACTAAAGACATTGTAACTCTACTTTCAGTGATCAATGGAATTAACCTTTGTTCCTAATGATGATTAATTCTCAGGTGATCACTGCATCTATGTATTGTATAATGTCTATCATAATCAGGAGATGATGTTAAAACAATTAATACCCAATATCTGCTGCTGTCATGGAAATTACATTGAAGTTAAGGTGTCAAACATAGAATCACCAATTTAAAAAATAATCTAAGGAAGCATACAGTTGTAGCAAGTGAGTAGTCCACATGAGTGCCATATAAGGCAAATCTTCTGAGAGGAAGACATCCCCATGAGAAGGTCATAAAAAAGTGTTTCAGAAGTGGGATTGGATTTGAGCTTTGAAAGAGGGGGAAAGGTTAGACTAGCATGGGCTAGAAAGATGGAAGGAACGATGTGATCAAGAGCCTGGAAATGGAAAGACATGTTTTTAGATGGTGTTTTAGTACCTTGCAGAGTAATTTTAATAAACTGCCTTCCTGTACATTTTTAATGCAACATATAATATTTTTAACTTAAATTGAATTATTTGTAAAAGGTGTAATTTTCTAATGTCTTATCAATATTTATACTCTAACATATAGTTTTGTATTTTTTACTTTACTTTATTTTTTGTATTTTTTACTTTTGTATTTTTTACTTTTTTTTACAAACCCAATGGGCATAAATGTGGCAGTTATGTGTTTCAAATTACTACAACATTGATATAACAGTGGGAAGTTTTATAGTATTCTTTTATAAAATAGATTTTAGGTTTTTTTAAAAGAAAGTTTTAGTTTCGTAGCAAAACCAAGCAGAAGATTCAGAGACTTCCTATAAACTCTGTGTCTCTTTTCTTATTCTTAAATCCATATTTCTATTCAATTTCCTCTAGAGAATTTTAACCTAATGTTATATAGTTTATGCTTGAACATTTAAAAACATGTTATTATTACATGTTTGCAGTACATAATGATTACATTCATCATGGGGAGTTGGTACATATGGGTCACCTTGTCATGCTTTTCTGTACCAGAAAGATAACAATTGAAATTAAAAGCATAAATGTACTTAAATTTTTTTCTTTATTATTATAGTATACATAAGTATGTTAATATTTTCAAACCATTATTGTAATGGTTAGACTCTGAAATGTCCCCCAAAGAGTTATGTATTGAAGGGTTCATGTCCATTGCAGCAGTATTCATTGGTCGGGACCTACAGAGACAACTTAATCAAGGGGATGCTGACCTCATCAAGAGACTGATCCACCTATAGCTTCACAGCTGAATAGGTTAGTAGGAGGTTGGGTTGAATCAGAGGAATATGCCACTGGAGGCATGGCTTGGAAGGATATTCATTCTCTCTCCCTACCTCTTTGTCTCTGACTCTATCTCTGACTCTGTCTCTCTCTGTCTCTCTCTCTCTGTCTCTCTCTCTCTCTCTCTCTCTCTCTCTCTCTCTCTCCTTCCGGGCTGCCTCCTCTTTCACATGATGTCACTATGATGCTCTGTTTTGCCTCAGACCCAAAATCATAGAGCACCATGGACTGGAACCTCAGAAACCGTGAGCCAAAATAAATATTTCCTCCTTAAAACTGACTTACATCAGATATTTTTTCTTAGTGATACAAAGTTGGCAAACACAATTGCTAAACACAAGTAAAAATTTATTGGATAACTATTTCAATGAAATGAGTAAGTTGATTTTCAAATTAATAGATTAATTGCTGCCTTTATGGATATTAATGCTAAAAGAGTTCAACATTAATTTATTCCTACTTTCTATTTTTATTGATTTAAATGACAATGACCTTAACTTTGAATAAAGAATGAAGGAATTTTCTTACAGCAGTATCATTTAACTGATATTTTTCAGAACTACAAACAAAATAACACATATGTTCTAGTCTTTTATCAAAGCTTGTTTTTATAATCAATTGTCTGACAATTAGGACATCTTTCTAAACTGATCATTAAAAATGTTAGAGACCACTTAATTTCCAAAATATTCGAGTCCAACTAAGCACCAACATTTGGAAATTGGAGGTTTTTCCATCCCCTAGTAAAATATGAGCTGCATGAGAAGTGGACTCCACTTTTGGAAAATAGAAGATACACCTAATAAAAAAGGCAAGAAAGAAGAATGAGCTGGACACTTTGAATGTAGCTGACTCATCAAGCTTGTAAATTTTATTTTAAAATGTGCATATAGAAGTAGAGAGCTACTATTAGATTGGTTAAGTAACAGTTAAGGACACAATTACCTTAAAACTTAGCTGTCTCCCCTTAGAATGTTTCTATGTACCCTGTATCATAGGCAAACCCTAGTTTGATGTTTATGTTTCCACGGAAGATCAAATTGACCAGTTGGCTGGATTTGTCTGGAAATTTACAGAGAAGCCGATACACAGTCTGAAACACAACTAAGGAAGAAATGTTTCAAAAACTTTGACTTCATTCCACTCCTACAGAGACAACCAGTCTAGTCTAAAAGGAGCCAATTATTTTCTGCCAAGAAACATGAAAACTTCTCAAGGATAGAAGGTCGTCACCTGGGAAATGAGAAAAACCACATGTGTTCTCTGGCAGCACTTAGAGATCCTATTTTCACACCTGCATCTAGAACCACAGGCAGTTCCAATCTACCAGTTGAACTGATGAGAAAGCTGCCTTCACAGGAGTGTTAAGCTTAGATTACAAAAAAGTAATTCCTTGCATGTTGTGCATCATTTGCAGCTGGTTTGAGTTTACATCTTAATGATGAACTCAAGATGGGTTGGAAGATTTCCCTAATCACTTCTGCCTCTCAGATCTTCTTGCCTACAAGACAAAAGGCTCAAACATTTGTGATACAACTATGTTCTGCTGGCATACTAATTTAAATGAGAAAGTCCTTTAAACAGGAAAGTATAAATTAATTGTATCAAGTGCTTGTGACTTCCCTATGTAGAAAAATTGGACTGTGACTACAGATCCATTTTGTTGAGTTTTTCCAGACTGACTTGAGTAGAAGCAGTTTATAAGTGTCGCTATAATTAGGGTGTTGAATCCTAATACTTCTGTTTCACACCCAGTCCATATGAGAATAATACATATTTATGATAAAGCTATATTTACTAACAATATCAATGATTATTCACAACACTTTTTTATTTTTGTACCAGGAATCAAACTCAAGCCCTTTTGCTTGCTAAGCAGGTACTTGTGTGGCTGAGCTATATCCTTGGCCTCCAAAGATTACAAGAAATATGTGAAGCATGTTGTTTTGAAACTTCCTCTTAAATGATAATTATGGATGTATAGTATTCTTTTATACTCTTCATTCAAACATTTGGGAAATAACCTTTTAAGGAGCTTCTTTTTTTTGTCTTTTTGAGGTAGAGTCTCACTATACAGTTCAGAATGGTCTTAGACTCACTTTATAGCCAAGGCTGGTCTCGAACTTGCAAATGAGTCTCCTGCCTCAGTTTCCCAAGTGCTGGGCTTACAGGAGTGTGCCATCACACCCAGCAAGAAGCTTTATTTTTTTAAAGGTTAGCTTCATGTTGTAGAGAAATATTTATAGCAACATGATGAACATGTAAGTGGTGGTGGAGTCATGGGGAGAAAGCCTGAGTAGCTGGAATGGTTGAAAACAATGTAGTTTTACACGAGTTAGAGAAACTTGAGTTTTGGTTTTGCTAACAAGCCGAAGGGCCCCAATTATTTTATTTAGTTCTTACTTATAAAATGAATGTAATACTTTCTCAAACAATCTTACAGGATTGCAGACCTAGAGAGATGAAATGTGTGTAAAGATTTTGAAAAGTTCAAAGTATTATGCAAATGAAAGTTGCCATAAAATACTAGATTTTATGAAGACTAAATTTGTTATAGACTTTTGCTCATGGTAATAGAGAATTTAATTAAAATGTGGATGGGCTGATTTATCAGGGCTAACCTCATGTTCCACTTCTATAGCTAACCTTTCACACAGCTTGGGCCCCACCTTCTTAGCCTTGAAAACTCAGCCTTCTGAGTTCCTCTGATGGCAACCCCAAATGTATAATGCAGGAGCTATTTAGAATCCCTCGCCAGCTTTTTGGTCTGTTTAATTATGACACTCCCTGACAAATGCTATGTAACAAATTTTTGTTTTCCCTGAACAAAGGAAACCAACAGATTATGAATGATTGGTTTTCAGTGAAGTGGGCCAAGATCTTTGTATTCTTTTCCTATAAGTCAAACTATAAATTTGCTCTGAGTGGAATAAATAACACATGTAATCTCATGCTCCAGAGTCTCTAGGTTAAGAAGAAAATTCTCTCTTGGATTCCAAATAAAGCAAAGTACAATAGCATTGGTCTTTCATCATGGATTTACAAAGTCTCCCTGTGGAAAGCAGCAGAAAGAGTTGGGGTTCACTGGAGCATGCAGTGATCTGGTTATAAGGCTTTAGATAATCCCGTACCATTTAATACTATGTACTAGGAGGGGCTAGTACACAGGAGGGCGCTTGATTCAAGATTCTCACCTTTAATCTGAGAGCCAAAGACACATGCATATATACACATAAATACATATTATATATATTTATAAATATATATTATATATATTTTAATTGTATTTATTTATTTGCTCAGGGTCTTTCTCCCTGAGCTTATTCTCAGTCTTTAAATTATTGGTTTTGTTTTGTTTTGTTGTGCTACAGAGCCTTACTGAGTTCCTAGACAGGATTCAAACTTGTGATTCTCTTGCCTCAGCCTCCCAGAGTGCTGGGATTATAGGCATACACAAGATTGTATGAACCGAATTAATGATGTATGAAATATTTTATCTGGCACCTGACTCTTGGATCTTGGGATTTTGTTCTTATTTTGATTAGAAAAATGGAAGTTTATTTGGCCGAGAGAGAAGAGATGTTCCCACTTTTAACCAAACTTGATACAGAGATTTTTGTATTAGGCACTACTCTGTACCTTTTGGTGGCAGGTTTCTTAGCCTCAGACTTGTTGACATTTTGGGTCTGGCTGCCTGTGTGTTGCAGGATGCTTAGTGCCATCCCTGGCCTCCACTCCCAAGATGTCAGTAGCATCCCAAGTCCTGTTTCCTACAGCTGGGTCTGCTCTGAGAGTCTCCAGACATCGCTAACTGTTTCCTGGGAGAAAGCTCCGCTATTTGAGACCCTGCATCAGCCTTGCTCCTGCCATCTCCTCTCTCTTCTTTCTTCTTGTCATCTGCATTTCAACTCTGAAGCTTTGCCCATGAATTTCTTTCCAGAAACGTAATTTTAGTTCAAACTGGTGCCAATTGCCAGTAGTTTAGAAGGCATATATTTATATGTTGTTATTAATCAACTAATTCACCTATTTGTCCACCCAACCAACAAGCACTTATCGAGCATCTGCTATGAACCAGGCCTCAAAATTATGAATATAAAAAGACATACTACTTTATCGGTGGTGAAACAGAGCCATGTCCATCTCTGTCCATGTGCCACTCAGTGGGAGAACAGCTGTCTTTGTCAGGGACAAGTTCACCCAGCTCAGGGCCACTAAGGGAGGTCATGCAGTGACACCCTTGGGATACAGGACACAACAGAACCAAACGTCAAGTTTTTGTTATTTTTTCCCATTCCTGGAGCACAGATCTCTACACTATTATGTAGACCCCTTAGTTCTAAAGTCCTAGATTTCCATTAGAGCCTACAGCCACCTGTCCAGAGCTCAGTGTTTTGAATGGAAATGAATCTGTGGCTCTGTCTGAACAAAAACCAGGACTTCAGCACCCCAAACTCTGTCCTCAGAACTGCTTCCCCTGAACTCGTTTCTCCTAGGTCAACTCCAGAGTGCTAGAAACTCCTGGAAACGTATAATCAGTATCAATCTAGGAGAAGTTCCAAGGGAAGACAGCCTTCCTGGGAATTCAAATGTTCTAATTTTCTGGTACTGGCCATTCAGTTTATGTTCACACATCATGTCAGTGCTGCTTTGATTCTCCTGATGTTCATACATGAACTATTTCACCTCTTACTGGACTCAGATGTACCATCCTGGTAGTGCAGTCCATTTTACAGGCACTACTAAAGTTAGGAAACTTACCCAAGTATGAACCTGTCCTTTGTATAAACCGCCCCACCACCCTATCATGGTCAGAGAGGTGGAGATATTTCCAGTAATTTTCATCTGGAAAAACTCAAGTGAAATACAGACCCATAACCTGCTGTTCTCGCCATCTCAGACTCCTCCACCACTCGGCTGCGGCAGGGGGGCCGGGGATCACTGTCACAGCTATCCTCATCTGAAAAGTCACCGCAGTCATTGTCATCGTTACAGAGAAGTCGCCTCTTTATGCATCTCCCTGTAGTGAAAAATCAGGAAAAAAATATTGTATCTAAGGCCAACTTTTCTTTTTCTCTTTCCAAAGTTACCAAATGCACTTTAAGGCTAGAGGTGAGGACCTAGACAAATGCATTTGAATTTTCTGTACAGAATACATCAACCGTGGCCTTACTGGGGCCCCTTTAATGCTTGGAAATGTATCTAGCAGCATGTTTATTTCTTTTTGCTCATGAGTATACAAAGAAACCCACAGAGAGCAGTTGACGTGCAGGATTACCTGTGCTGCACTGAAAGTCATTTCCACAGTCGTCCTCAGCCTCCAGGCAAGCCTCTGTAGGCACACACTGTTGTCTGTCTCCCAGAGCATCCATGCAACGTTTCCCATTAAACTGCCCAAAACTCTCAATGCTTCTTGAGCGAAACTGCACAAAACCAGCCGGAAAAGTTAGACTTCCTAATGCCAACAAAGGATTATGGTCACAGGCAGCAACCACCCTACTGCAGCCCCCCAATGCCACGTGAGTCCATTCTTTTAAGAGAGGACACAGCAGCATTCATTGACGTTGGTAAGAGCAGCACTTCGCATTCTGGGTTAGTGCCATCTTGCACACTGGATACATTCTGATGACGGTCACCCAATACAATGTACAGCCTTCAGATTCCCTGGCAAGGACAGCCACATACATTTAGATGATTGTCTCTCCTTTAGGGCTGGAACTCAGCTGAGGAGGATTCTTGCCTTACGGCTTTTTCTCAGGAGGTTCGAGCAAGTTTTTAGGAAAGAAAGAAGATAAACACTTACCATTTGTTTAAGGCAAGGATCACATTGTGACCATTCACTCCAGGCACTCATTTTGCAGTCTATGGGCAATGGAGGGCCATCACTTTGTGTTAGCTCTTGGCTGTAAATGAGATAATAAAAGTTAACATTTCTTAGTTGATCCTCATATTTTCCTGTTTCCACCAACTGGTTCTATTTTTCAGCAGTATGTAATGGCTCATGCTTACAACACAGCACTTGAGAGACTGAAGTGGAAGAATTGCAAGTTTGAGGCTAGCCAGGACAATGAGGGGACTCACTGAAACCTTACCTGAAACTAAAAAATAAAAAGGGTTAAAATGTAGCTCATTACAAAAGCTTAGAGTACAATTCCCAATCAGTATTGAAAAAACAAAACAAAACAAAACCTTTCTTACTTTCTCTCCTCTAAATCATGATACTGTGTTACCCTAAGTCCCCTTTGACACTTGATCATGTTATCTTCTATTTTTAATGCATCTTCTTGTTTCATCTGTGTGATACATGCTAATTTAATTTTCAAGCTAAAAACAGCATCCATAGCAAGAAGAAAACTAGCAAAGTAACCAGGCAGATATTTTACATTGACTAATCTTGTGTTTTCAGACACATGGTGAACACCTTGAAACAAGAATTCATGCATCACTTTCTGTACACACCTCCTCTCCCCGCGAGGAACAGGCAAAGCTTCCCCTTGCCCGGTTCTTTTACAGAAGTAAGACAGCCGGCCCCGCCATTCCTGAGGCAAGTACCTCATCAGTGAGGATTCTGTATATAAGTTCCAAACTGGATGCTTTATCACTATAGAGAGCCTTTTCCTGTCCTCAGAAAGGTCTGGCAAGTTTGTATTTGTAATCCCATGAAAATGTTACTGGAATTCCAGCAAGTGAATTCCAATCTACCACTTCCAGTGCAACCCAAGGTAAGAATAGAGATACTAAGACGTATTTGTAGTTATAGTGAGCCAAGGGGCCCTACACCTGGTCAGGATGAAGGTTCATCCAAACAAAGTCCTCAACCCAGGGCCCAGCCTGGGTTTTATTAATTCGTGAAGAGGGGAGTAGTTTGAGGATGAGTGACTTTGAGAATGGTGGGAAATATGTGAGTATGGTGAGCTTAGCTGTGCAGGAGGCCTGAAAGCACCTGTGCTGTATGTGGAAAGAAGGATGTACAGAAAGACCATCCTGCATAACACAACTGGGGAAGCTGGTGCTTCAGCTCTGGCGTGCCAACTTTCCTGTCCTGGGAAGTCATAGCCTCTTATCCCTAGGCTCAAACTCAGCTGACATCCCTGGAGCCATGGCTCTTCATCCTGCCCAGCTCAACTGTGTTCTGGGAGTCACAAGGCCTCAGGGTGGGGAGGGCAAGGTGGGGAAGAGGGACAGTAGGGAAGCGGTTGTCTCATAGCTTCAAAGATTGTGCCTCAGCACCTCAGCTAGTCCTATTTACATTGCTTAGAGCCAGTTGAAGGGAAAAGGAAATGGCTTATCCAGCTCGGTACGTAACAGTACGTGGAGATAAGGCCAGGTTTAGCCAAAGTGGAGGTAACTGTTCTTTGTTCAAGGAGAATTGTCCAGGTGGTCCTTCACATACCAAGTCACATTCCACTCCAGGATTTATTCTTGCTCTTTCTGGGGTTGAATGTCATATTTTTGGAATTTATAGCAATGCTTGGGAGCACATTTCTGGCTTTGAACTTTCCTCGCTCCCTTAGTCTGCCATCTGAATCTCTTAAGCTATTTTACAAGAATCCTACAAACCTCCTTCCTCTATTGCCCTGACTTGGCAACGATTTCCTCAGTGAAGCTTCCTGCACTAGAGGGATGATTGGGCAAGACCAGTTCATTCACAGAAACTCAGATCTTAGCTCTGCTTCGAGACTTTAATCAATGAAAAATCTCCATCTTAGCTCTTCCTTATAACCAGCTCCTTGCCATTTATAATGCAATGTGTGCACGTCTGTGACATTAAACAGAAACAAGGCCATGTATGAGCATGTAGAACAGCATCCCTGGGCTGCACATTTCTTCCACCTGCCCCTGTTTACTTCCTGCTCCTCACAAGGTCACATATATTTATATTTCTGTCTCATCCCCTAACAAGTCTCATCTCCTCCTTCGATCCTCCATGCCCCTTTTGCTTCTTCTGAATTTTGGCCAACTGCCTTGAAAAGGTGGCTTGCCTCAGTATCCTGCTCCTTGCTGTCCACTGTGTCTCAGCTCTGCTGCCCTGTGAGACCTGCTTCTGCCCAAGGAACATGATGACAGCTCTGGGACCCACTTAAGCTCTTCAGTCCTGACCTTATAAACTTCCTCAGAGCCTTTAAAGCAATCGATCACCCTTGCTTCTTAAAACAGTCTCTTCACTTGTACTGAGCAACACTATATTCTTCTCTGCCCAGTGCTCAGGTCTATTCAGGCTCCTTTCTCTTTTTCTTGGTGTTTTCATAGAGCTTTTGTTCCTATGTGTGTGTCTTAATGACACCCATAGAGTTCTGACCTTTCTCTGGAATTGTAAACTGATGAATTCTTCCAACTGGGCATCTGCACTTGGGTGTCTTTATGGTTTATTGAACTCAATGGATTCTCAAAAGAGTTACTTTTTCCTTTTCATTCAAAGCTGCTCCTTGATTTATGCAGTTATCCTAGCCAGAGTCCTTGGTGTTACTTGTGTCAACCTCCATCCTCTCACTGTTACGTCTGACGTCTAACCAGCCACTAAAACCTGTTGCTGATAGCCTTGTGAATGAGTCTCAGGTCCGCCACTCCTTATCTCTTCCAGGAGTACACTGTCATGGTTTGAACAATGAGCCCCAGAGATGTCCATGACCTAATCCCTGGAGTCTATGAACATGTCACCCTACATGGCAAGAGGCTGGGAGACTGTGATGAAGGGCAGGGGCCATTTTAATCACATGATCAAAAGAAAGGTGGGCTTGACAGATGGGAAAGCAGGAGAGGCAGGAGAAATTAAAGGCTTGCTGGTGCTGGCTCTGAAGATGGAAAAGGGAGCAGTGTGTCAAGACACCGGAGAGCTCTAGAACAGGGGAGTGGGGAAATGAACCCTTCCCTAGATCCTCCATTGAGGGATGCAGTCCTGCTGGTCCCTTGATTTTGTCCCAGTGAAGCTTGTATAGGATTTCTAACTTTTAGACCTGTAAGGTAATACATTTTAAGTGGCAGAGTTTGTGTCATTTGTTAACACAGCAAAGGGAAACAAATACCCACGACCCGGAGAGTTCTGCATAGCCTCATGCTACAGCCTCACTTTCGTCTACCTAAGCCCCAGACACGCCAAGCTTAACTTCGTTAGATGAACCCCTTTTTTCTGTAACTTCAGATCTTTAATCATGCTAATCTCTATTCATCATACTAATCTTATCCAGGACACTTTTTTATTAGGGTATTGGTCTTATCTTGGACACTTTTTTTTAGCATATGTTTATGATACATGATAGTTGTGCATATTTGGGGGAGCTAGTCTATTATTTCTTGATCATTTTTGATCCCTTTATCTGCCCCACTATCCCTCTTTCCTCTTTCCATGATTTTTACCCCCATCTTCAAAAGGTCTATTTCCCTGCTTCATATGATCTCTCCTTATTTTACTCTTTAATTACTTTGTGTTTTGAATTTCCCATATAAGAGAAACCATGAAATACGTGTATTTAATTTTCTATGTCTGACTTATTTCACTCGACATTTTTCTCCTGAGAACCTTCCTGAAGCCCTGGTATAATTTTCTGTGTATGTAGTGTTGCAGCATCTTGTTCTTCCTTATATTATAAACACCTTTGCAATGATATATTTCATTTAGTTAACTAGTGAATTTGTTAGTTTGTCAAACACTTATTAGTTGACTATTACTGGCTAAGTATGGGAGGTGCAATGATACTCAAAATAAAAACAACAAAATTAAAAACATGATTCCCTACACTAAATGGAGTTTATATTCCAGCTAAAAATATGAGTGAAACTAGAACATTTATGTCTTGTCCAGCTTTGCAGTATCTGAAGCATAGTGGTTTTTTAGGGAGTGTTTTTTGAATAAGTGAATAACTATGTAAAAAGAGAGGAAGGAAATCCCTGGCCATGTGGTCTTGGGTAGACCTAAGCCTGAAGTTCTCTAATATCCTGGCGAACCACTCACATGATTTTGTGCAAGACTTATTTGTTGTCCAGACCTGAAGATGCCATTTGGTAATCCTGACCCTTTTTGATAGCATCCTGAATATCAGAGAGTCTGCACAGCTTTTATCTATTAAAAGTACAGGCTAAAAATGTATTATGCAGGCTGCCAAAATTCCTAGAAAAATATGCTTTCCTTAAATTACGAGTATTCGTGGAAATCACACAGCTGAAGAAAATTTCAGCTAGAAGATCTTCATAAAATTAAAGCCTTGTCAGGAACCAAGGAGACTCAAGAAACACTGCCAGATGCATCCTTATGCCCTGTAACAGTGGCTGTCAATACTGGTTCTATACCCTTATCTCACATATTAAAAATAGGAATTTGGGCTGGGGATACAGCTCAGTGGAAGGGTGCATGCGTGGCTAGCATTTACAACTATCATGTTCAATCCTCAGGGCCACAAAATAAAGAAAATGAAAATATGAATTATGAAATCATGTTCCTCATTCTGTGTCAGTTCAGCCTCTGAGGAAGGGCTACAGACATCCATGTTTCTAAAAACCTAGCCAGGTGAGATGATTCTTGTCTATATGGTGATGAAAAATACTGCTTAGCAATATTTGGTAGAAACCTATGATATCTGAAAGGATGGAATTCAAATAGGTGTGGGGTACTCCTGATGACAAAATTACCAAACTTGAGACCACTGTTGACTTCAATATGTCACCTTACACTAGATTTTACCTACTAACATTTCTTTGTATATTCACAATAGCCTCCCATTACTTTGAACATGTGAGCACTTTGTTTCAGCATCTCCCTAGAGTTCCAGAGACCACACCCTGCAGACCAGTGCTACCTCAGCTCTATCCCTGTTACCCACAGCTCAGGCTGGTGTCAATGAGTCTTTGTCCAGAGGATACATCAGTGGAGGTTCATAAATGGAAGAAAAAAAGCCGCTACAAATACTGA